CTCATCTACATCGACACCCACTCACTCTACTATCCTTCAGTACCGTGATAGAAATGATTTCTTCTGACATGAATGTCTTCTGTACATAAATATAAAATAACCATAGTAAGTCGTACCTTGGATTGGTTTTAAGCTTATCAGGCATTGTTTTGAACTCAATTCCTTGCGTCCAGCAACCATAACGGCAATCAACTCCTACCATTTTGGTCACCTGAACTTGGATTTTTTTCCCGGCTGGAGCCTGAAAGTGAATCATTTCCTGATGTTCAGAGTAGTTCTTATGAAGATTCTTCCAGTCTCAGTTATGCATAGTTTCCTAACAGACCTTGATCCAGTCATTGCACTTTGCGTAAGTGTCGCGGAGCCCCAGGTTCGTGGCGTTACCTACAGTGACCACTTTCGATTTCCAGGTTGGACCTGCTGTCAACACCGCGCCACACCCTGCTGGCTGAAATTGCCTTCTTTAACGTCGTACCATATAACACACACCCCTTTTTCCTAGCTTGCATGTTCTCTGTTCTTGAATCAGAATTTGAATCATATAACTGAGAACGGCTCACCCGAAGGTTGCACAGCGCGCCACCGTAACCGGCAGGACAAATGCATGCAGCACAGTTCTTTGGATTCCGCTTTCCTCCGTTCACACATGCTGCACCTTTGGCTGCACATATGCCTATAACAGATTCGACATCAAAGAATTCAAAGACCAAACCGAAAATGTCGAATATCAGAAACTGTTGAAAATGCAGCTATGACGTTGGTTGAGAGGAATGAGGAAGGAAAATTTCCTACCAATTTCTAAAGTTGCCAAAATGGATATAACACTGCGACAAGCAGGGCATCTACCCAGGTTCAAAAATCACGTTGTAAAAATTTTTGAAGTACGAACATTAAAGGAATCCTTCACGGAAAAAGCTCCGCCCTCATTACCACAGAAAACGATACCTTAAAGGAATCTTCCACGGAAAGAGTGATCATTTTGTCTTGTGTGTAGGATTAGTATTATCGAAACTAACGCTTATGTTCCGTTCTTTTTGCTATGCTCATGAGGCTAGGGGCCTAAGGGTATCGTTTTTCTGGGTAATGGAGGCGGAGCTTTTTTTCGAAGATTCCTTTGATCATGAGTTTATGCCTAAGAAAGTATGGTTCTCTAGGGTAGTGGGAGTACCTTCCCGCGAGGAAGATTCCGCCCGCGAAGATTCCTTTTAAATTGCCTGAAGGAGCTCCCTACGCCGAACACTCCACTCGATGGCGACAATGTCGATAGTATCACTGAACTCCATCATGAGTCACAACACCAAACTCCGCCCATACAATTTACTCGAAATGCGGTTGAGCATGGAGGGTTTTGCTTCACTCTGTAGCTACTAACCATCACCTCTTCCTCGCGGATAATCTTACCCTTCTCCAAAAACATGCCCTACTACCCTCTACCTGTTTGCAAGTCATCACTTGACAGACCAGTTATTTCTGCCCTCTACTAAAAATCGGTTGCCATTGTACGACAATGCGAATCCGGCGAAGAAGTACAGTGAGAAGTATCGGCCAATATTGTCAAGAACTATGTATTACAACCGAATCTAAACACACTGCTACAGCGATCAAAAAGCATATACAGTAGTGGCCAGAAATTTATGAACAAACGGTTTTTTCATGATTTCTCTTTTGAAAGTCACTGGCAACGTCTCCAAATTTGCAACAATTATTAACTACGTGTTTTATGATCCACACAGAAAATTTCAACCTTCAGCTCAAATTTGGGTTTAGAAAATTTTAGATTTTTCGAAATTAATGAAGGCAGGTGAAAGATCACTTGATCCGTTTATTTGATTTAAATAATGTATAACCCAACAGAACAGTCAAAGTAAACAGTCACTAACATTAAGCAAGTCTAGCACATTGCCCAGAACTCTCTAAAGTATTGGATACATAAACTGGATTTGAATGCGGGGTCAACTAATGAACTCACTCTCTAGTGGGGTCTCTCTCTGTAGTCCCGTCTTTTCGTGGCTCTTTCATTGACATACAATTTTTATTTTTTGTTTGATTGGTTCTCTTCCTAGTGGTTCTGTAATGTTTGGCTCAGGAGTCTGGCCTGGCTGGTCTTTTAAAAGCACCCCATGCTGTCGAAACCACTCCTGCATGTGAGAGGCCTCGATGCTTTGAGTCGCTGCTCTGCTGACAGACAAAGCCAGGTCGTGTGGCAGCCATGTCCTACGGATACATAACATCTTCTAGAATCTAAGTTTATACTACGTATTCCTTAGTTCTCAAAGTCTAAGAAGAGCGCTCGCTGTGAAGTGAGTGGAAGTAAGCCTGAACAATTTGAACGGGTTTCTAAGTCATCTGCGAATGACAAAAAACAATATTACTGATTGCATAACACTATAACGATACCAGTATATATACGGCCACCCACGTAGACGAACGTTTTGATCCGAAACACCGGCAATGTAAACTTTGCAGAAATTCATAAGTTGCCCTTGAAAAAAGTGGGACCACGCTACACGACTGAGGTAGCGATGAAGGCAGACGTTTGCTGTCATGTTTTGGAAGGTGTCATGTATCCGTAGGCGTGGCTGCCGCCCGACCTGACTTTGTCTGTCAGCAGAGCAGCGACTCAAAGCATCGGGCCTCTCACATGCAGGAGTGGTTTCGACAGCATGGGGTGCTTTTAAAACCAGCCAGGCCAGACTCTTGAGCCAAACATTACAGAACCACTAGGGGAGGACCTACAAATTCGTATGTCAATGAAAGAGCCACTAAGCTCTCCAAAAAAATCCCAAAGGAGATTTCGGACTGCGTCGAATCGGATAAACGTTCCAGGAGCCTGATCATCAGTGGCCTCGAAGAAGCACCAACTCAGCTCAAACCATCGGAGCGTCAACGAGATCTTGAAAACAAGGTTTCTGATCTCCTCGATGCGCCTGCAGGTTGAGTGCAGCCGATTGAAGTGCACAGGTTAGGAAAGTCGGATCCCTCGCGTCCAAGGCTCGTCAAAGTCTTACTCCCTTCTCGGTCCCACTGGCATACCGCCTTGGGTAATGCCAAGTATCTGCGATCAGCAGTTATTCCAAAGTCTTCGTGAGGAGGAGTATGACGCTCTAAGAGCGAAGTTATACGAGAGTTCGAGCTCCGTCAACTGGCAATGGAGCGGAATAAAGGGAAGGCAACGCGAGAATGGGTCGTGTTCAAGGGAGAGCTGAAGCGCCGCTCGGATTTACCACCATCTCAAAAGTCGGGAAACTGTCAAGTAAGCACGGCACTCAGCCTTCAATAAGATGTCTTCTATTCAATGCCCGCAGTATTATAAATAAGTTCGCACATTTGCATGCCCTTTTGAACATTGACAAGCCTGATCTTGTAGTAGTTACAGAAACATGGTTGAATTCCCGCATCCTAGACTCCGAATTAGTCACAAATCTGCCGTATTTTGTCTATCGAAGCGATCGTAGAGGTAGGAGAGGGCGGAATTTGCTGTCTGGCTTAATAGTATCCCAGTATGGCAGGCCACTACGAGTTGAAATCCGATATCTTATGCTTTAAACTTATGAGTTGCAACCTACCAGCTCTAATTAGGTTTGTGGCCGTTTACCGCCCTCCTAACTCGACCTCTGCTGACGACTCCCTCCTGATCGACGTGCTCTCTGATTTATGCTCCAACCAGTCTAACACTGTTCTTCTAGGTGACTTCAACATCAAAGTTGATCGGGGAACTTGCAAACCTCTTAGTTCCTCTTCTGCAGTTTTCCTTGACTTTTTTGAACGTTGCGGCTTCACTCAATATGTTACGGAACCCACACATGGTGAGAGTATCCTAGATCTCATCCTTTCAACAACGCCTATTATTTCCAACGTATCTGTTCACTCCCCTTTCGCCAATTCTGACCATAACAGAGTCTCTTTCGATGTGCATCATGAACTTTCTCGTATTGACATACCTCCCACTCCGGATTTCTTGAACGTCGACTATGATCAAATGAACAGCTTTCTCGAAAGGATTTATTGGCTTGAGGTTTTTGATGGTTATTCCTCTGCCAGCGATGTATATGAGAGATTTTGCGCACAGATCTACACGGCTATGTCTATTTACATCCCTTTCAAGTTTCCTCGCCACACCTGGCTTAGTTATCCTACACATATAAAAACTTATTAGCCCAAAAAAACCGACTTTTTCGAACTCGCTCTTTTCCTCTAACTGATCCGTGCTACAAAAAAGTATGCTCTGATTTGGATCACCATGTCAAAAAATTTCTTGCCAACCAGGAGAAGCGTCTCCTAGATAAGGCTAAACAGAAAGGTTTATTCCGCTATTTCAACTTCAAAACCAAGCCTTGCCCAAGTCTCCCAGTTCTTTTTGATTCTACTGGTAATTCGTTCACTTCTGATAAACAAAAGGCTGACGCTTTGGGGTCGTACTTTGCCAGTATCTTCTCCGATAACATTCCCGTTGATTGTGATCAACCAAGTAGGCTCCATCGTATTCCACACGAGCTCTCTAGTATCTTCATTCACCCTAATGACGTCCTCTGCATTTTGAAGGGGCTCAAGCCGTCCACCTCAGAAAACTACGACGGCATTCCACAGATTATATATAAAAAATGCGCACTTTCTCTTTATCAACCGCTGGCTCATGTTTTCAACATATCGATGCTTCTAGGGGAAGTTCCCTCCTTATGGAAAGAAGCTATCGTTTCCGCCATTCCCAAAGTACCCAAGAGCCATTCGCTATCTGACTATCGACCCATCAGCATCCTTCCAACCTCCGCAAAGATTATGGAGAGACTGATACGAGATAAACTCTTGTCATGGCTGCAAAAATTCAACGTGATTCCGAGCGAACAGCATGGCTTCCTTACCGGCGCCTCTACAACATCCAACCTGCTTGATAGTATCTTCGACTGGACTCTTGCGCTTAACAAGGGTGAGGCGGTTGACGTAGTATTTATAGATCTCTCCAAAGCGTTTGACAGGGTATGTCACTCGAAATTATTAGTAAAGCTTAATTGCCTCGGCATAACTGGACCTTTTTACAACTGGTTTGAGTCCTACTGTTAGCCTTAGACATCATGAGCTCAACCGTTCGTTGAGCTTCTCACCAGGCGGGCGGGCCCGGGGCGCGGGGCGCGGGGGCGGGCCCGCCCGCGCGGGGGCGCGGGGTCGTGGGCGGGGCGCTCCAGCAGGTATTACTGCCATAGTGGGGTACCTCAAGGGAGTGTCCTCTCCCCACTGTTGTTCCTTATCTACACCATGGACCTTCCCGCTTTTATCAAGACTTCTGTTGACGTGAAGATTCAGATGTACGCCGACGACATAAAGATCTACGCTGCTTATAATGAGAAGAATATTGAGACTGTTCGATTGGCTCTGAAAAAAGCAATTGAAAATATGACAGAGTGGGCCGTGACCTGGGGATTGTCACTTAACCTTAAAAATGTTCAGTGCTGCATATTGGTGACGCAGTCCAAGCCGACTACGAAATCAATGGGGTACGACTGGAAAGCTGTCAGTCTGTTAGAGACTTGGGAGTAGCCATCAACTCTAATTTAAGATTCTCCGAGCATATCGATAATGTAGTCAAAAAAGCGTTCGCGGTCCTGTACCTCATTTTTCGTAATTTTCGCAGTAAGGATCTGAATTCCTTACTCGCCCTCTACAAAGCTTATGTGCGCCCACATCTCGAATACTGTTCACCAATATGGAGCCCTATTCTCAAAAAAGACATTCACAAACTAGAGAAACAAAAAAGACATTCACAAACTAGAGAAAGTACAACAAACTTTCACTAGGCTGATTTTCCTCAGATGCTTCCCTTCCACTGCTCAGGTTCATCTCCCTAGCTACAATGACCGATTGAAGTCCCTCGGTCTGCAAGACCTGCTGTTAAGGCGTACCATCAACGATTTAGCCCTTTCATTTCGTATTTTGAGGAATGAATCCAAACTCAGGCTTAGTAAATACTGGGTTTTTCGACCCTGCAATGGTAGAACTAGCAGCTTCCATATACATCATGCGAGAATCCTGAGGAAGAAATACGCTCTTTTGTTCAATAACTTTTTCTGTCGTACAGCGCGCTGGCTTAGTTGTCTACCAGATGAGCTGCTCCAGTCACCAAATGGTAAGATTTTCAATAATAAGTTGAAAAAACTTGATCTTTTGGAATTATTGAAGATTGATCACTAGTAGTTTCAGCTGTCCAGTATTTTGTCTTTTGAAATGCAGTTTCTCTTTCAGGGATACAGCACGCTACGACAAAGTTCTCTAGGCCATGAACAATATTATATTACATTACTCAGTTACTCATTTACTCTGCTGAATACTTTCCACATTATCATCTGTGACGGTTCTCACTATTTTTGTTATACTACCATTCTACTGCTCAAAGTTATACTATTTATTTCCTTTTTTTTCTTTTTACCTCTGATCCTGGTGCCCTATAGGTTCCGAAAAGTGGCCTCTAGTCGCTCGGTGAGCCTGAAAGTTGATCGACCCCTCACTTGAGGTCCCCCCTCGTTGTTCGCCTGGGGTCCCAGACTAATTCGTTAGTCATGGGTTAAGTTGGTTGCAAGCCCCGGTACGTTATTCGACTCGAAAGCGTCCGAACGAGGGACAAGGATCTCGTCAGGGACCTTTCGGTCTTCTGGATGGTGAGTGCGGCCTTATTGTCGGCTACAGTGTAGGAACTCAAGGCTGCCACCTCATTTCTGTTTCCGTTTCTGTTCTACTTATGTCTATCTCAGGGTCACTTTCCTTGTTCGCTTTGACCCCTTTCCTCTCCTTCTTTCTTTTATTCATATTTTTTTGTGTATCATGGATTGCTCAGCTTTCAAATTCTGTTCCTTATCGTGTGCACACCCTTTCTGGTGTATCAAATAAATAAATAAATAAATAAATAAATAAATTAAATAAAGTAAATAAAAGACGCGAACTGCTACAGAGAGAGACCCCACAAGATTGAGTTCATTAACCCCGCATTGACCCCGCATTCAAATCCATTATATGTATCCAACACATTAGAGAGTTCTGGGCAATGTGCTAGACTTGCTTAATTAGTGACTGTTTACTTGACTGTTCTGTTGGGTTATACATTATTTAAATCAAATAAACGGATCAAGTGACCTTTCACCTGCCTTCATTAATTTCGAAAAATCTCAAATTTTCTAAACCCAAATTTGAGCTGAAGGTTGAAATTTTCTGTGTGGATCATAAAACACGTAGTTAATAATTGTTGCAAATTTGGAGACGTTCCAGTGACTTTCAAAAGAGAAATCATGAAAAAACCGTTTGTTCATAAACTTCTGGCCACTACTGTATTCACTCACCATTGCACTTGTAATGAGAGTTAATCAGAAATATGTCGTAGAATGAAATCTGCTGCGATCCCATCGTGTACAGATATCTTGGTCTTCCGGGGACGAGAGACTGTCCACTTGAGGCGAATCTAAAAACCATATATGAAAGGTGACCCATTTTCCATTGGCTTGAGCCCGCTTACGATCGAGTGTCGTAGTGCATGACACTGCCATATTCGTACGGTGTGTAGTTGATGGATTCGGCTGCAGTGAGTTTGTTGTAGTTGTGTTGGTTTTGTGTCTGAAAGAAAACCATATATGAAAGGTGACCCATTTTCCATTGGCTTGAGCCCGCTTACGATCGAGTGTCGTAGTGCATGACACTGCCATATTCGTACGGTGTGTAGTTGATGGATTCGGCTGCAGTGAGTTTGTTGTAGTTGTGTTGGTTTTGTGTCTGAAAGAAGGACTTTTAAAAACTCTACACACGATCGTCTCCAACTTCTCTCCTCGTAGAACCTCGGTATTGATGTAAATTATGTAGTTCTTCTGCCAACGAGGTTGTTGGGTGGAATCTTCATCAGTGGCTTGACGTGTCGACGAGATCGTCTTCCTCAAACTTGCTAGTAACTAACCATAAGCAATCTGGAGTGGCGCTGTCCTGCTCTCACGGTGGTGGGTTGGGCCTTTGAGGAAGACGAACTCGTCGAAACGTCAGGCCACTGATAGAAATTCCACCTAACAACCTCGTTGGCAACAGAATTACATTATAAATACCAACAATTCTCCGATGCCGCTGAAATGTGCGATGCCACATGGTGCGACTTTGAAGAAAACATAGGACCTATTTTTTGTGGGACTTTGACCTGCTCAAAGGGGCCGTGTACGCGTTGGCTTGCTTCAAAAATGATTTTGGAGAATCATTAGTCTCTGTGCTACTGGATGGATACAAATTACGTGGCTCATCTTGAAAGGGGAATTTCAGCAGAGCTATACCACCGCTTTGAGGTTCATGAAATGCTAACAAGGAAAGGGTCTCAGGTCGCCATGGACATTTAGGAAGAGATGTACACCCCTTGAAATGTCTTAGAACGCTGATCTCGAATCTACCTTCTAAATCTGCTAAACGATCTATGAACCAGTGCTACGATCTATGAACGATCAAGCGGAGCAACGGTAGTGATCGGGACTCATAGTCAAGACGCCGACAGATCGATCCCTTCAGTGTTTTCTGGCTTTCTTTCTTGGGAATGCAGCCCACACGACTTAGCCTCATTATCTGTGTTGCTGTGAAAAGTAAAACAGCAAACACGGTTAGGAACAGATCCTACGACGTTTTGACTGCGAGTCCCGACCACTACCGTTGCGCTGTTTTGCTTCATAACTCCGTTCAGAAAATCGTTTAGCAGATTTGGAAGGTAGATTTGAGATCAGCGTTTGAAGGCACATCTAGGCGATTACATTCCTCCTGGATGGCATGATAACTTAGCATCCTTCCCTAGTAAGTATGGAAACTTGTAATAGTAAGATTTACCGGCACATTTGTCATATCAACTGTTATGAAGTTATCACGATCCGATCGACTTTGCATGTGAAATATACCGAGGGCATGCATGAACTCGTGAGCAACGATTCCAATCTAAAACATTGAAAGCCTTCGGAGGCACACTTTACACTTGGAGAAATGGCTTTGGAGAAGCTAATTTGCAGGATAGAAGCCGTTGTTTCGACCGTCCGTCGTGAAAATCGCGGAGTAGCCTCTGTGAAATTAAGTTGCCCCAAGTGGGGACAACTGCAATTATTGCCTATCTTATGAACTATCCTTAAGATCGATCTAATTCTCGAGTCATCCATGATAATCTTCTCCTCCTTTCTTATTCGTTCATAGGGCAAGGTAAGCAACGTCGATAGCGCTCCTCAACCACAAGTTCAATTTGGTGCTATTCGGAGGG